TGACATAGAAGGGAAGAATCTAGCTTGATTTTCTGGATGGACTTAGGATCACTTAATTGAGGACGGTAATATGAAATAAATCTATTGAATCAGCTAGTTCGTAGGAGAAAACATCTTCTACCTCAGTGGTTTTCAAATTCTAAAATGTGTTTTTTTTTTTAAGACGTATGTTTTGTTCCATTACTGATTGGAGAAGCCATGTGAAAAATGGCAAAATTAGAAGTCTTCAGATTCGAATGCATTCCAATTGTAATTTTCTCTTTTTAATGAGTATATGGTTTAAAAGTTGTGCATACATATATAATCATTAAAAAAAAAAAACAAGTGTTTATTTTAAAAATAAACAGAGACAAAAATCAAATATATGGAAGGATGGCTCACTTGTCTGAATTCTGATAGATATCTAAGTATATATGTACATGCTTAAAACAATTCATCACAACTAACAGGCACACAGCACATTCACCTTGATTAAAAAGATATAGTTAATTCAGAAGAACAGGTTCTGTTTAGCAGGTTTTGTTTAGCAGACTTAAATGCACTTCGCACATTAACATTTTGAGTGAGATTAAAAGTTAAAGTATACTCTGTGCTTTAAACTTAGACGTTTAAAAATGTGGTTTGCACTTCTCTAAAAGTGTAAATCAAACTTTAGTTTATGACTTAAGGAAATATAATCTCACAAATATTATTCCCACTCCTCTCTAAGAAATACAATTTTTGTTTTTAAATGTAAAAAATCTTCTTAAATACTCTTACATATCCTACAGAAATAATAGTGAAGCACCAATGGATCCAGTTTTATGATTCTTTCTCCTATAAAAAACAGAAAAATAAACCCTTTTCTTAGGAGGCATACAATCTAAAATCTAAGGGTTTTCTCTTTGATGCTGATCTCTGGGAGTTTCAACCAATTCCTCCAGGAGGAGTCTTCTTCCTATTTTGCTTCACACTTTTTTTTTTTTCTTTAACAGTTTTCATGGAGTTGACTCCAACTGTATGCACCATCAGGGACTCTTGCTTCACATTTAACAAAACTTTTCCCAGAGAAAGGCATTGATATCTCCTTCCCCAGGACAAAAGCCTCAGGGACTCCCACACTGATAGAACAAACCCCAAACTCTCTCAAACCCTTCATGACTTGTCCTTGGCCCTCCACCTCCAGCCTCCCTGCTCACCCTGAGGTCCAGGCACCCAACCTCTCCTTGATCCAGGAAAGTGGCCTTTCTCTCTGCCTCTTCTCCTCCACTCAAGCTTTGTCCATCACCTGTCATTCTCTGTCTCAGCCCTCTGACGATATCAAAATCTTAAACACCTCCCTGACATAGCTCAAATGCCCTATCTCCTAAAGTCTTCCTAAAGTGAAATCTGTCTCCCCTGCCTCCCTTTGTCTTGTCCCTTTTGTCTGACCCTTGATATTTCAGGCCTGTGTGGGCTCATTCCACAGGTATCTCCTCAACAAGATATGCAACTCTGCAACTCTGTATCCTGCCCATCCACACCCTACCACGCTTAGCACAGTTGAGGCACAAAACAGATTCTTGATGATTGCTTTTTAAATGATATTTATTTACTAGGTACTTATTAGGTAGTTTAACAACAATAGAAGTTCAGGTTCTGATGTCAGTACCTAAGGTCAACCCCTGCCTCTATTACTCACCAGTTATAGGATCCAGAGCAAGTTCCAGAACCTTTTTGTACCTGTTTCCACATTTTCAAATGGGCATAATAATAAAACATGCCTTACTAGATTGTTATAGAATTGATGATTTAACATATGCTAGAGGGCATAGCACAGAGCTTGCTAGTAAAGCATCATTCAGTAGATGTTAACTAAAGAAAAAACATCTGGACCTAAATAAATAGCTCTTAACACATACCCTCTAAACCTCAAGCTAGAATTATCTGAAAATGGAAGGATAAATAAAATAACTACAACCTATCATTCAACTGTTATAGTATCTACACAGCAGGGAGGCAGAGTGAAAGTTTGGGGTGGGGTGTATGTTTCAGGTGGACCTTAGATTGTCCAGAAGAGTCCACAAAGATCCACTGCAAGAGTTGATCATTTTCCCGATTTACTGGCCAAAAAGAATCAGAAACAAATCAGAATCGAGACAGCCACACTAAACAATGGCAGCTGACATACCTCAGCACAATGTTCCTCAGGTTCCCAAAACCCCGAATAGGGGACTATGGCTGCAGCCCCTGCTGTCTTTACAAGGTAGAGACCTTTCTGATCCAAGAGACTTATTTCTGGGGTTCAGAACCCTTTTATATTACAAATAAATGATGTAAACCAAATCAAACACTCCCTGTCTTGAAACTTCCCAGTGGTTCCCCATCTCCCATTAAGAATAAGGCAAAGTCCTTCAGACTTTTAGAATCTCAAAGTCCTTCATGGAACTCTCCTGGCTCCACCCCATCGCCAGTTCCTTTCTTGTTCCGCCACCACCACTAGTTAGGGTTGAATCGATTCCGACTCATGGTGACCCCGATATATGTCGGCGTAGAATTGTGCTCCATAGGTTTCCAGTGGCTGATTTTTTGGGAACAGATCACCAGGACTTTCTTCTGTGGTATCTTTTGGTGGACTTGAACCTCCAACCTTTGGGTTAGCAGTCTAGCATGCCGATCATTTGCACCACCCCCTTGCTATTCTCCCACTTGGCCCACACCATTCCATCCCCACTGGCCTCCCTGCTTTTCTGGAACTCAACAGTCAAGGTCCTGCCTCAGAGCCTTTGACAATGAAGATTTCCTGCCTGGATGTGTTTCCCCAAATATCCACACGGCTCTCTCGCTCACCTCCTTGCGTTTTCACTCAAATGCCCCCTAGTCAATGAGGCCCTCCCTGGACACACTATGGAAACCTGCACCCTGTTGCACATATTCCTGTTGCCTCCTTTCCCTGCTTTATTTTTCTCCATGGCACTTTTCACCATGAACTGCATATTGCATTTATTGGACTTGCATATTGTGTCCTGCAAACATAATAGAAGCTCCAGGAGAGGAGAGGGGCTCACTAAGGTCAATGTTAGAGCGTTATCACCGAAAACGGGGCCTGGCACAGAGCAGACGCTGGATAAATATCTGTTGAATAAATGAATGGACAAATCATGGGGCAGCTTACCATAAACCTGAAAAAAGATAAGGTGTGGGGGCTGCTTGCAGTTAATCTGGGTCTGTCACAAATCATTCTGCCTTGTATTCTGAAGGATATGTCTTGAAAAATGTGTTAATTTAGCTCAGTGGTCCTCCACTGATAGTGACTTTGCCCCACACAGGATATCTGGAAATGCCTGGAGACGTTTCCAATCGTCTTCAAAGTGGTGGAGGATGGGGGTGGTTGCTACTGCCATTAATGGGTAAGAGGTCAAGGATTCTGATAAACATCGAACATTCTACAAAGCACAGGAGAACCCCCCACGACAGAGAATTTGTCCCAAAATGTCAATAGAGTCAAGACTGAGAAACCCCGATTTAGCTGGAGGTGATTTCTTATATCTAACTCAACAGCACATAGACGTCATACATTACGGAGAAGGAAGCAAGGAAGGAAGGCGCACTGTTGTGATACAGAAAGACAAAATACACAGAACTTTTATACACAAAGCAGAAAGAGGTTTTAAAAAGAATCAAGTAGTGTTCACCCAGCAAGGAATAAAATACGCTACCAAAGGGTTTATCTATAAAAACAAGATGAGAAATGTCAGAGAGAGAGAGAGAAAGAGGAGGGGCGGAATTGCAAAGAATAAACTTTGCTTCTGGTCTCTTCAGCCTTCTCAAAAAGTGAGCCCCACATTTCTGTTATGTGTATTCTCTCAGGAATAACTGACAACACTGTAATAAAAAAAAAAAAAGAGGGAAATCCCGAATTGCCACGTCCTCTCTGAGAGCCTGCGCCCCAGCTGACGGCTTGGAGCATTTGGCAGGAGCCAGCTCAATGAGGGAGCAGATGCTCCAGCCACTCTCTTGGAGCAGTATCAGGGATATGAGAACTTGGGGAGAAATTAACAGAGCGATCAACAACAGCAAAAGAGATATTAAGAGGTGTAGCGTTTCCCCTTCTGTAAACATCATGTGAGCCGGACTAATGTCATGGTGAAATTATGGACTGCTCCATCCATGAAAATGCCCTAATAGCTTTGGAAAAATATGTCTTTGGGAGGAAATATGTAAAGCCTCATTGGCTGACAAGGGACATAATGACTCCACAATGAATTTTATTAATAGTTGGATAAAAAACTGAAATTCTCTCTTCTAGAAGCATACGTTTGGTATAAACATTGGTGTCCAATTAACGGGCACATTTCCACCTCAGATTTCCGGCTTTTCTCATCTAAAGGCATTATTTGACACTTTCTTCGCTGAAGTAGAGTAGGTATTTTTTACATTCAGCTTCTCTTAGGTGACTGTGTGCGTTAGCTTATACTGGATGTGGAAACATCTTTCTCTCTCAAAGGGAGGCGCACTGCTTCCTTGCGCAAAGAGTTTTTTGAGGCTGAAGGCAAACATGACTACTAAAAAAGATAAATAGAACTTTTAGGGAAACGGTCTTTAGTAGTACCGAGAACAAACGTACAGTTACAAGTAATTAATCCTTGAAGAAACACGCAGCAAGGAGATATAAAGAAATACATGTTGTGTTTCTCATTAACAAACGGAAAATCAGTCATAAATATTTATATGTATTCCTTGAAACCAAATAGAAACTTCCATATTAAGATGGAAAGGCTAATAGTGAAAGGAAGGACTAGCCACCATGTCTGGTTGGTTAAATCAATACCAGACCAACACACAGAGAAAATTATGTGATTTAATATATGAAACTACTGCACATCCTGGATAAAGATAAGAAATAAAACAGCTGCTTCCTGCAATAGCTAGGAGGATTTTTTTTTTTCCTGTAGACTGACAAAGATAAAGCAATTCTAGATCTTAGCAACTTGTCAACTGTAAAATGACTCACAAATTGCTTATTCACAAAGGTAACTTACAGACAGCAAGGGGATGGCAACTTTTCCAAGAAAATCAGGGGGTTTATCTCCATCTTCATCAAACACTGTCACTTCCAAAACATCATGGATATCTTTAATGGGACTGAAACAAGAAACACATTGTGTATTATATACAAAAACACACAAATGAAGTCTGTTCCACGAAGGTCTGAAAACACTGTTTCACTAATTAAGTCGGTATGTCCTTAGAGTATAAAACTACCATTTAATTAAATTCCAAAAATTAAATCAAATTGACTGTATTCCCAGACCTTCCATCATAGAAGATTTAAACATCCATATGAAAAAAAAAAAGGCAACTTTTTTTACTGACATTTTCCATGTACACATGCACTCAAGGTAGGGCTGTTAACGAAACACGAAAAGAGAAAGGGAGGTGGAATGAGGAGGGCATAAAGAAAGCAATTGCAAAGTAGCTTCCAAATGAGAATAGTAAAAACAGTTTTTACTTTGAATTAATGAAGAATTCCCTTTAAATAAAAAAGTGGTCAAAATCACTATTTGGTGTGAACTACCTAGAAAGCCTTGTATTACTGAAACATAAAATACTAAAAAATCCCATGCATATTTGGAAACATGTTTTATATTGATCAGAAGCCAGACATCAGCTACAATGAAAAATGGTGTCGTGGTCATTGGCAAGGTGTTGGGCAAACAAGAAACTCTTGCCATTGGCAATTTGCAAATCTGCTTCGCAAAGCAAAAGCAATTCTCACAGAGTCTTGAAATTTTCTACACATATCATTAAACCCATTCAAAGTGAACTTGATTCTCTCATTGATAATCTGGGAGCATTTCTTCAGTTTTGTGGTGAGAATATACCCTGTGTCACCCAAATTCAAAGCAGGGCCTTCTCTAGATGGTCAGGTGACTCAGAATCTAAAACAAACTTTTTTTTTTTTTAAATAGTTGCCATCAAGTTGATCCTAACTCATGGAGACCCCAGATGTGTCAGAGTAGAACTATGCTTTATAGGGTTTCAGTGATGCATTTTCTGAAAGTAGATTGCCAGGTCTTTTTCTGAGGCACCTCTGGGTGGACAAGAACTTCCAACCTTTTGGTTAGCAGCTGAGTGGGTTAATAATTTGTACCACCCAGGGACTCCAAAAGCAAGCAAGGAAATATAAACCCAGCCTCCTAGATGCCTGAATTTGAAAGAGTGGGCAGAGCATCATTAAGGAGCAGGTCACTCAGATAAGCTAGAGTACCAGGACCTTTGGGAGTCTGAGGAGTCACAGATAATCTGTATTTTCCGAAAGACTCTGGAAGAATACATGCTTTTGGGCATTAAAATAATGTTATAACATATACGCTTGAACTTAAGGCTGGTCTCCATTTGTAACTTTCCCTAACCCGGGAATGAATTAGCTTGGATATATGGCGGTCTCCATATGCTCACAGGTTAATTTAGCCACTAAAGGATCTTTATGAAGGCCTCCTGTAACACTCCCTTGCAGTTCAGAATGGTCTCTTCTATTATTAACACTGCACTCTATAAAAGGATAAAAGGTTTTCAGAAGAAGAAAACAATACAATTCACTCTTTGCACATAAAATAGTGGACAGAAAATTCCACTCTAGAGTACAGCCTGTGCCAGACATATCAGGGATAATTGCTCTCTAAGTTAAAGCTGCCCCTCAATGGTCCAGAGGCTAAAGCACTTACAATGTAAAAACTTTGTTCCACTCAGGGTTGAGGTTCTTGTAAACGGTATGTGTCTGAAGTCGATCATTGCCTAGCTCCAACAAGCAAAAGGGATCGCTCTTCCCTGCAAAGAGAACACAGACATGGGTCAATGACAAATGAGCTTCCAAAGGGTCAGAGGCAGTGTGAACACAAGTTGTGGCACTTTTGCAACAATAACACTGTGCTTGCTGAAATAGTGAAGGTGAGGACTCGTCTTCCAGAGAGCCCTGTGGATGTATGAATTTGGGAGAGGGGTGGAGCCTGCAAGCGTTAGAAAGTTAGCCCACCTAAATTTCTGACTGATACACGACCAGAGATGCAGCCCTGAAAGCCAGTGACCTCACGCAGATTTCACAGGACTGGGTATCAGTTTGGCACATGAGAGAGAGTTCACTTCTGTGTTTTGTGTTGAAAATGAAGCTCATTTATTTCCTTCTTAACTTTTCTCTAAGTCAAACTTACAGACATATGGATAAACGTCCTCCTATAACTAGAACCACCTGCTGTTGCCGTTGACTTCAACTCATGGCAACCATGTGTCAGAATAGAACTCTGCTCCATCGGGCTTTCAATGGCAGATTTTTGGAAGCAGACAGCCAGGGCTTTCTTCCAAGGCACCTCTGGGTAGACTCAAACTGCCAAACTTCTGGGTAGTAACTGGGCGCTTAACTATTCGCATCACCCAGGACCTCCTCTGTATCTAGAAGACTATGGTAATAGGCTTCCATGCAACTGCGGAAAAAGTGTAAGAGTAGCTATTTAGAAACTATGTTCCTAAATATTTGATACATTATGAGAACAGACAAGTTACAGCAGTGGTGCTCGTAAACATGAAAAGTATGATTCAGTAAATTAAGGCCAGAATTGTTAATTTAAAAAAAAAATGGAGCTTGTTCCTTCTCCCATCTCACCTCTTCCTTTCTTTTTCCACTCAAAAAAACCAAATCAAACCCATTGCTATCGAGGCAATTCCAACTCATAATAACCCTATATATAGGACAGAGTAGGACTGCCCCACAGGGTTTAGAAGGCTGTAACCTTTACAGAAGCAGACTGCCACATCTTTCGTCGGCAGAGTGGCTGGTGGGTTTGAACTGCTGACTTTTTGGTTGGCAGCTAAGCACTTAACCACTGCACCCCCAGGGCTCCACTCACAAACTAAAAAAAAAAAGAAACCAGGCAAGAAAATCCACAACACAAAGCTGGACCAGAGATGTACCAGGTAAAATTCTCTTCCCTTGGTTGAGTCCAGCAGAGGGATCCAGAATTTGAACTGTCAGGGAAAAAATCAATGGCTCTATAATGTCCATACGACATTAACACATTGCCTGACTCTGCAGCACACAGGCACTTTGCAGAGCAGGGTGGACCAAATTAATTGGGGGCATAAGGACAGACACTCTCTGACCAAATGGCCAAAGGATCTCAGGGCAGGGCCTAATGCAGAGAGTGCTCCAGCCTCTTGACCTTTTGGCCTACCATCCAGGTCACTGAACCTACAGCTAATCCACTTAATACCCTGGAGCTCTGAGGTGCTACACATCAATAGAGGGGCTGACATGAGCAGGAGCCTCCATAAAGATGATACTTTTAAAGAAGAAAATCAGACGCCTGGTTAAGGGTTAGTACTAAACAGGATATTGCATTCACCTCACTAGTGGTCTGGACTCTTAGCTGCCAGGACAAGGGCTTTAAGTCCATGCTATTATCCCAGTTACTGGTAGACTACGACCCAGCCGTGGATAAACGAATGAGTTAGGGTTGTCAACTGTGAACTGTGGCCATGGTCTCTATCTAAATTAAGGAGAACAGGAATTTATTAAAATCCTATCAAGCAGGTCTCAGAATCAATGCAAAGGCAGGGGAGTCAGGCTTAAAAAGCACTAGAAACTAAAAAATGACTTAGGAATACTTAGGCACAGCCAAATATCCCACCCCAGGAAAAGTCTGGTGTGGACTCTGTTCTCCTGGAGCTCCAGGCACCCTGTTCCTGGACCCTGAGTCTTGCTGCCTCCAATATGAATTCTCCTCCACTCCTGCTTCTTTCCCACACTGGACGCAGATGCAAAGGACTCAAAAGCAGCATCTGATTGCTCCTGCTTAGCAAGGACCCCCACCCTAACTGCCAGAGCACAGAAAGGAAGTACTAGCTTTTCAGCTTCTATGGTTGCAAGTGAGTTCTGACCAACTTCTCCAAAACATACAGTGGGGAACACTTGAAACATAGTCAAGGCTTCAGATGCTGGGCAGCCAACACCGAATCAACAGCAACAACAATAGAAACCTATCTGATGGACGTTTAGGTTGTTTCCACCTTTTGGCTATGAATGGATGGGTAAAATGTGGCATATACGTACAATGGAATGTTATTCAGTCATAAAGAGAAATGAAGTCCTAATACAGGCTACAGCATGGATGTATCGTGAAATCATTATGCTGAGTGAAATAAGCCAGTCACAAGAGGATAAATACTGTGTGATCTCACTTATATGAAATATCTGGAAAAGGCACGCGTATAGAGACCAACATTTATTAGTGGTTACCAGGGGTAGAAGGAGCCCTGGTGGCACAGTGGCGATGGACTGCTAACCGAAAGGTTGGCAGTTCGAAACCAGCAGCGGCTGCACAGGATAAAGACGTGGCAGTCTGCTTTTGCAGAGATTTACAACCTTGGAAACCCTACGGGGTCGCTATGAGTTGGAATCGACTCCACAGCAGTGGGTTTGGTTTTGGTGGGTTGCACCAGGGGTGAGAGGGAGAGGGAACAAAAGGGAGACTCATGGCTTCTATTATTCACTGAGCTTCTATTAAGGTGATGGAAAAATTTGGAAACAAATAATTATAACGGTTGAACAGCATGGCAAACAAAACTAATGTTACTGAATTGTACATGTGAAGAATGTTGAAAAGGCAAACTATTTGTTGCATATATATTTACCACATTAAAAAAAAAATCTGAATCTGTAAAAGCCTTCTGCTTATTTGAAGACATTTTTATCCTGGGAATGTATGGAGGGGGGACAATAACAGCCTGCCAACACAGAAGAACATATTTCCTCTTCAACAACCGTGAACATGAAAGAGAACACACGCCCCCAGCTGAGCATGCAGGTATAGCGAGCTCCAAGCTGAAGCAGCTACTTAACAGTTTGTCAAACTATTAGTAGGTGTCAGCGCTGCTCTTCCCAAGACACCAACACGACATCCCATCAGCACTTGCTCAGGGGAAGCCGTCTGACACTTTTAATGAAAGCGCTGGGGATACTCCACAGCAGGGCAGAGAAGCGGCCTGGTCCTGTTGAGGCACAGGTGGGTATGTGCTGGCTCCTGCACTCCTTGGCAGGCACACACTCAGCTGTCCCAGCTAATGAGGAACAGCTTCCCTCCAGAAACTGGGAACCTCAGTTATATGTCTCCAAGGAGCACACTGTACCAACTCTCTGAAGATAATTCAGTCAAAGCTCATTAAAATGCTACATTTATTAATATTTCAATATAAACAGGCTAGGGGAAGAAGAAGAAACAAAGACATTAAAACATTTATGGTATAATTGATGTGCGCTTTATGGATCCATTTCTTTCCTTTAAAAGGTTCCATATATATACAGACTTATGAAAAAAAATAATATTTTTTGAGATAAAAATTACCTCTTATAATGAAATCTGCCATAAAAAAAAAAAAATATCTAAATGATACCCAACGGGACACAGAGAACAGCACCAGGCAGACTGACACGTATATGTTTGGTCTGTACTTTCTGTCTTTGATCCACATATTTTACAGGTAAAAGGGCTAGATAATCTCCCCTTAGACCCAGCTGCCATGTAACCTCGACAGTGATTGCATCGTTGGCAATTCATTTGTATTGTTTTAACAACTTGCACTCAACAGCTTTCCTTATTTTTCAATACCACTATAAAGTTCATTCATATTCCTTGAATGACAAGTAAGGATATTTCATTTCAATATTTTTACCTTTATATCAGTTACAGTAGTTGAATGGCAAGTAATGAATGTATTTTAGGGATCATATGATTCATTTGACAATTATTTATTAAGCACCCACTCCTCTGTTCCTAGCACTGAATCAGGCAGAGATATACAAAGACCACCAAGTCATTCCCTTCAAGGAACTCTCATAATCTCCGTTATTCTGTAAATGTTACTTTTTTAGTGAAAGCTTTCCTCATGCTCACCCCCATAGTAGACTGAGTTGCCTCCGTCTCTTTTCTATCACATATTGTCCTTTACTCGTTGTTGCTGAGTCGACTCCAATTCATGGTGACCCCATATGTGTCAGAGTAGAACTGTGCTCCATAGGGTTTTCAATGGTTGATTTTGCAGAAGTAGATCACCAAAGTTTTCTTCCAAGGCACCTCTGGGTGGACTCAAACCACTAAGTTTTGGTTAGCAGCTGAGTATGTTAACTGTTTGTACCGCCCAGTAACTCCACATTGTCCTTAATATGTTAATATTCTACATTTGTAAATTTGTTACATATTTAGCCAGTATGTGTATTTCATTTAAGACACTCAATGAGGTACAACCAACATACGCATATCGCTACTTCCTCTATGAAGAGTACAGTGCCATGGCCTGGAAAATAGGGCAACAGGGACATTCCTGGCTCCCAGTGATGGGTGCTGGCTAGAGGGAAACATGTTCCTCCCATCCAGCACATACTACTCTACACGAGACTGTGTGTCACCCAGATTCTCATTTAATTCTCACACCAACCCAATGAGGTGGGGACTGGGTGCCATTTTGCAGATGAGGAAACTAAAATTCAGAGAGATTTAATTTGGTTGGGAAAAGTCCAGATTTCATAGTGGAGGTGAATCTTCAGCAAGGCGTGGCTAGCAGAAATGAGTGAGTCCTTCTGGAGGAGATGGGGGCAGAATCTGAACTTTAAATTTATTAGGAATATAAATATAAATAATATAAACATAAATATATATGGCAATCTGGAAATATGAGATGAGAGTAGACAGATGCAGAGGCTGGCTGGAAGCCTTGAAGGCCATGGTCAGTAGTTTACATCTCATTTGATTTCATTTTACTCTGATTTCATTTTACTCATC